TAGAAATGTGTTTTATTTTTCAGTATGGAAATTATCCACATTTGACACTTTATGTATTAAGCAGTTTTATTCTTTCAATTTTCATCCAATTTATGTCTAGTGGCTTAGAAATGAAATAATTCTAAGGTATGAAGTTACCTATCTATAAACATATTTACAGAATATCCTTAAAAGTGGATATTCCTTTGTTAAAAATGTTATTTTTACAAAGAGTATACTATAATTTCTGCATATTTTATTTATAGTAGATTTCTTAAAATTTGTTCTATGTGATTATATTTAATCTGATTTAATTGATATTGCCCAGATATTGAGAATAGGTCCAGACACTGAGTGTGTTTAAATATATAGTCTCATTTATTATTCCAATATGAGAAATACTCATTATTCCAATATGAGAAATATGAACAAAATAAATAAAAACCTCTCAGATCAATGCTCCTCCATTAAAGCACACGACTAGAACTAAAACAGTGAACCTGGAAAATATTAAGCCTCAAGTAATTCTCCCCAAACTCCCTCTGCTACTTTTTAAATTACGTTGGGAGGACGATACCCAAGATCATTACATAGCAGGTAGATATTCATATAGCAGGTGTCAAGTTTAGAACAAATTATCATTTGTTGAATACAGGGACAGTCCAAAGATCAACTACCCAAGAACAAGGTAATAATTACCCTCCCACCTTATTCAAAGCTCTCCCCCTTCTTTAAAAGCTCAGTTAGTGACTTTTCACTTTCTTATAGTTTAAAAATACAATTTAAAGATGTTTATAATATATTCTATACTGTCTCTTCTTGGTCCTGTCTGTGAATCTCAAAGTGCACCACATTTTCTGTGTTCCAATCAAGGGTAATAGTATTAGTGTGAGTTAGTTCTTATTCACCACTCACCGTATTACCATAGAGGCTAGATGGTAGCAAAGAGAATGTATTTGTAGATACTGATTTATACAAATGGGTAGAGCAAAATACAGGAGAGCGATCATTTGATCACTTGATTATAACTTTTCTAGGCTCACATTCAGCTGCTACTTTTAGCACCGTATTTGCTGTGCTTGTTCTTGGGTAGTTGATCTTTGGACTGTCTCCGTTTTCAATTTTCCCTCTGTAGCCCTGAGTGTCTCCCTCTGCTCCCGCAAATTTGTGGTTCTCATTGGCTTTCCTGAATCTCCACTTTTACTTGCCCTCTCTGGGCTTTCTAATATCTTCTTTTTTTTCTCATAAATCGTGCTCTTACTGAAAATTGGCCTCATAAATGTTGAGAGGTTGGAGGTCTACTTTGACTGAACCATGGATTGAAATAACCCTTTTGGCAAGTTGCCTTACTCCTTGTCTTATCAAGGTGGCCTGTTTACATTTTATCTTGCTTTTGATAATATTTACCATCTCAGTCCAAGTTTGTGATATTGATGGTGGCATTTACAAGCTTTTAGATGACAATTTTGTGTCTCAAGTATACTGTCTTTGGGAAGTTCCTGTGTGGGAGTATTTGTTCATTTGTCTCCAGTTATCCCTAAATGCTTAGTCATCAACGAAAGGTCCAGAAACCTGTTTATTTTAGTCATCTTTGCTTTTTAACAATGTATTTTGTTTGTAATCAATGAATAATCCATGATGGAGTATTTTTAACTGACTAATGGATAGCCAGGCTTTTAATTCATGTAAGTAATGTTCTTTTCTCTTATTGAAACAGTGAGAATACTCTGTGCATTTTGAATGCACTCAGATTATGCTGTGGTTTGGTTCATATAGGCGCAATATGTGGTTTATTTATAACTTGATAACAAATTTAAAATATAATAATTTACCTTAGCAGACATACAAAAGCTTAGTCTTGTGTGACTTACTTTTCTTTCAGCTGATATGAAAATAAATATGTAACTTACAAATCTGTAATAAAACATTAGAAATTAAATGTGTGCCTTTCTTTTGTAAAAAAATTATTTCAGACTATGACAGGGTTGCACATGCTTAGGTTACATAATTTGCTTTTGTAGATTTCAGGCCAAAGTTATAAGTGTGCCCTTGACCCAGAATGTATGCCTTGGACTTGTTAGTTGTGAATTAACCCAGTCCCTCCTGCCTCTCCCACCTACTTGATTCCGGTTGAGTTTTACATCCACATGTGCACGTAAGTGTTGACTGAGTAGTTCCGGCTCAGTATTGAGTACACGGGTGGTGTTTTTCCTTTCTTGCAATGCTTCACTCCAACTCCATCCAGGTTGTTATAAAAGACACTAGATCATCATCATTATTATTATCTTCTTTTTTTGTGGCTGAGGTGTATTCCACAACCACATGGAGTTTTCTTTTGTAGATGGGTTCATTTTTGTCTTGTAGATATGTTAGTTTTCAAAGCTAAGTATTTATAGAGGAGTGTTTCCAATCTTTACTATGAAAAAACCCATGATTGAATAGTCAACTACT